TAGGGTGAATAAGTTTGAAATAAATGAGAAAAACTTGTCATATGGTCAGATCCCCCTGAATCAATGATCCATGGGGTAACACTGGAATTTGAACGACAAGATAAGGCCTTTGGGTTGTTACCTGTCTGAGCAAGAGAAGCATTAGGAGTACCAGATGAGGAATTGAATTTCAGCAATTTTAGAAGATGATCCATCCGTTCTTTGCTGAAGGGAAGTGCCTCGGCTTCATGAGCTGATGGGGCTCGGTTGAATCTGCCTTCCTGGTTGAATTTGCCTTCCTGCTTACTCTTCCAATTCGCTGGTTTACCATGAATTTTCCAGCAGGTTTCATGGGTATGGCGAGGCTTGTTGCAGTGGTCACACCAAAGACGGGGCTTTTCATTATGTTTCCTACCAATATTCGCTTCAGATATGACCAGGGCAGAGGTCTCAACAACACCATTTGATAACTTTTTTCCAAGCATGACCAGCCTGCGACTTTCCTCTCTTCGAACCTCGGAGAAGACTTCACCGATTAAAGGTAGGGGCTGTCGTCCAATTATTCTGCCTCTCACTTCATCAAACTCGACATTGAGTCCAATGAGAAACTTGAAGATGCGGTTGTCTTCCACCTTTTTTTTGTAATGGTTGCAATCTTCAGGCGATTTCCACTCATAATCGCTGAACAAATCAAGGTCTTGCCACAAACGTTTTAGAGAGTTGAAATATTTTGTAACACTGTTATCTCCTTGACGGATCTCTTCGAGTTTCAGCGTTAGTTCATAGACTTGAGACTGATTTCCCAGGTCTGAATACATTTGGTTGACATTGTTCCAGAGTTCTTTTGTTGTGTGGTAACACATAATTAGAACTGATGTCCTCCTCCATGGAATTCACCAACCAGGTCATCACCATCGAATTCTCTGCATCCCAGGTCGAGTAGGATGGATCTTCAGGTTTCGGTTCCTTTTTTTCTCCTGTCAGGTAGCCGATTTTGCCTCTACCTCGGATGTACATCCGCACGGATTGGGACCAGCGAAGGAAGTTTTCATCATTTAGCTGAATTGTGGTAATCTGGACTGAGTGTGTTTGAGAGTTTTGAACTTCGGACTCAAAGGTCTTGGTCTTGGACTCAGGTACATCATCAGACATGGTGATTAGGGTTGTTTGGAAGAGAGAGAAAAAAAAAAAAAAAAGACGGCTAGGGGTTTTTTTTCAGAAGAATCGGTAAGATGCTTTGATACCAAATAGGCGATTTCAAGATTGAAAAGAATCTGTATATTGCCGTACTTTGAATGGTTTACAATGCTTTAGTTAAATAGGAAATACAAGGGGCTAACAAAAGGAAACTACAGGCTGTAACAGCAAGCTATAGGCTGTAATTACAGGCTGTAAACTAACAGAAGTTATAGGCTGTACACTAATAGAAGCTACAGGCTGTACACTAACAAAAATTCCTAATCTTAGTCATTGATTACACACCTATCATATCCCCTAAAATCTGGTCTTATTAAAATGGAATATCTCTTTTTCAACAATTACCTTGCTTGGTTTAATGGATCTTTGTCTTGAGATCGAAGATTTGTGCTACATCTCTCACTTTGGAGTAGGTTTGACAAACAGATTCCCAAATTTCCTTTGTTGTTGGGAGAAACATACAAGTGCGGCTTATTTCCGGCTGCATCGAGTTCCATAACCATGACATGATCTGAGATTCTTTTCATCCCGAGCAGCAAACTTAGGATCATCCTTACTCACCATCGGTCCAATGAGATGACTCAATTTCCCTTTTCCCTTTATATAGGTTTTTACCAACTGTGACCTCTCTAAATAGTTCCCTCCATTGGGTTTGAAGGTGGCTGATATATTTTGGGATTCACTGGGAGCAGACTGTTGGTTTGTGGACTGATTTGTAACAGAGGAGTTAACTTCTGATGTACCCGACATGAAAAAGAGGTAGGGAAGACTTGAATCTAAAGAAATGAACAAACATCACCCTAATCAACAGGATGAATTCTAGAATGAAAGGCAATGAAGGCCGAATTAAGGAAATCTGTCTTGAAAATGAAGGTCAAGATTGATTTTAAATGAATCTGGAAAATATACCATGGGAAATGAAGGCACAAGGCACAAAAGAAAGAAAGAACATGATTAGAGTAGTAAATTTTCTAGCTCTGATACCATGTTTGCATTCAAACATTAAATTGAGAGAATACTTTCTTACTTCTTCTACATACAATGACAACATATATATACAGAATTTTACAATCTCCAAATTATGACAGGAAGATAGACAGCTAAACTAATATGGAAAAAGTCAACTAAATCCTAGATGGTCAATATTTACAGCTGGACATTTGTGTTAGCCTATACAGGCTGTATATCTTCTAGAAGTTGGCAGATCTGTGCCAGCCTATATAGGCTGGAAGTCTTCCGGCAGATTTTCCAACAGAAGGGAACTCATCCCACATCCTAGAATCGTAGCAAGCGAAGTCTGTTAACATATATGATATCCACGATTTATGGAATGACTTACCATAATAGCAGAGATTTGACTATGCATATGTTAGCCTATATGATAGTCACGATTTATGGAATGACTTACCATATTAGCAGAAATTTGATAATGCTATAGAATATGCCATAGAATATGCTTTAGAATATGTTTAGATTTGATTTAGTTTCCTTTCTTGTAATATGAGCATGTGCTCTTTTTATCTTTAAATACTAGAGTTGTGAATGAGTTATTCATCTTATTCAAGCCTTTACACAATTCTCTCCTTTTTTCTTCTTTTTATATTTCTACTTGGTATCAGAGCAAACACCTTTCCACACCTTTCAGCAGCCTTGCTACTTGTGTGATAGCCACCTTAGGCTGTTTGTGACATCGTGTGACGTTGCCTACACATGTTTTTTCTGTGTTGCTGTTTTGCAATCGAAAACAGGTATTTTTAAGTTTTACAATTTATTTTTTACTCTTCTAGGGTTGGGTAAATTAGGGAAGCTCATCTATTTATCCATGACTCGACCTGACATTGCTTATGCCGTGAGTGTCGTGAGTCAATTTATGCACTCTCCTCGTACCCCTCACCTTAATGCAGCTATTCGGATCCTTTGCTACTTAAAAAGGTGTCCGGGCCGTGGTATTTTGTTTGCCAATCATGGTCACTTACGTGTTGAGGCTTGGATAGATGCTGATTATGCAGGATCAGTTTCAGATAGGAGGTCAACTTCGGGTTATTGTACCACTATTGGTGGTAACTTGGTTACTTGGCGCAGTAAGAAGCAGGATGTTGTCTCTCGATCTAGTGCAGAGGCAGAGTATAGGGTTTTGGCTCTTGGGGTATGTGAGTTGCTATGGCTGAAAACCTTGATGACAAACTTGTGCCTTCTAGTGTCGCTTCCATTCTTACTCTACTGTGACAACAAGTCTGCCATTACCATAGCAGCAAATCCTGTTCAGCATGATAGGACTAAGCATATAGAGGTGGACCGTCACTTCATTCGAGAGAAGATCATCTTTGGTCAAATTTGCACTCCATTTGTCATAAGCTCTCAACAGTTTGCAGACATTCCTACAAAGGGTGTTAGCAAGATTGTGTTTGAGAATGCATTATCCAAGTTGGACGTTTCAGATATCCACGCACCAACTTGAGGGGGAGTGTTAGCATATATGATATCCACGATTTATGGAATGACTTACCATAATAGCAGGAATTTGACTATGCATATGTTAGCATATATGATATCCACAATTTATGGAATGACTTACCATATGAGCAGAAATTTGATTATGCTATAGAATATGCCATAGAATATGCTTTAGAATATGTTGTGATTTGATTTAGATTTGATTTAGTTTCCTTTCTTGTAATATGAGTATGTGCTCTTTTTATCTATAAATACTAGAGTTGTGAATGAGTGATTCGTCTCATTCAAGCCTTTACACAATTCTCTCATTTTTTCTTCTTTTTATATTTCTACTAAGTCACCTCTTGAACCTCCCCCACAGGGACAAGCACACTTTTACCCACGTTAACTTTCAACCCTGACACTGCCTGAAAGCAGATGAGCACACATCTTAAATATCGGAGTTGGGACACATCCGCATCACAGAAAATGGTGTACATATTGAGAGAGCATTATTGTGAGTTCCATAGTGTATACTAGTTTTCTTTGCATTCATCATTCTTAGAATTGCTTAGTGTTTTTCAATGGGTGTTGACATCTATTGCTGCGAATTTCAACTGAAGAGTTCAACACCATAATCAATCCATTGATCAGATATTGACAAACTATTAATCTAGTTGTAATCTGTTTCTCATAGTGGATTCTGTTTGTCTGGACTAGGTCCCGTGATTTTTTCCTAGTTGGGGTTTTCACTTAAAACTCCGTGTCCATTGTTTTTGATTGCTTTAATCGTTTATTGCATGCTTGGATGATGGATTGATTGTTTTTAAATTTTCTGATGATTTGAATTTAACTTTCTGTTGAGTTTGTCTAAATTCAAAAGGTTGTTAAAATTATCTAATCCAACAAACAAGACCTATTCACCTGCCCTCTAGGTCTAGATCACGGGGTTTGCACAACTCTCTATAATAGCCTAGGGTTTCAGGCCTACGAACTTTCACTTTCTTATCTTCTTATGTTGTAAAGGTTGTTTTACACTTTAGACATTGCATATACAAGGGTTATAGTTTCTCATTCTTAATCTGTTGTTCATTGCTTACTGTATGTTTGACAAAATAACTTGCATTGAGGTGATGAATAATAGTGAGTTCAAGCCATTTGGAATGCCCTTGAGTATTGAGTTGGACTGATAGGTTTCCCAGTTTCCTAAATCTAGATGGTGAACTTAGATTTACAATGGAAGTGGACCAAAACCTTTTGTTAACAGTTTAACACCACCAATCCTTTATTTATTATTTGTTTGGTGTATTTAATGTTTAAGTTATCCTTTGGCTAAAGCCCACATTGGCAGATCTTTCCTGTTCACATGTAGTAACTTTTTTGTAATACAGGCGGGGTTACACAAAGGAGAGGCAGAAGGGCTTACTGCTTGTTGAAAAGTTGGATTACTTGCAGTCAAAACTTCTTCAAGGAATCTTCTTCATTACATCCAAACCATTAGGGAAAGTTGGCATCTGGATTAGTGAGGTAATTGTCGTATAGACTATTGAATTTTTCATCTTGAGTCAGTCTCATAATTTTATCTTTCGTGATGCTTGTCATGCATTAAGCTAACCAGATATAATCCTTTGATTAGAAAAGGTTCATTGCTTTTATATGTTTGTCCTACATTTTAAATGTTCCTCTGCTTTCATATATTATATTGAGCCATGTTTTAGATTGTCTTGTCGAGCAGCTCATACATCAACTATTGGATTCCCAGCATAAATGTTATACCTAAAATCATGTTTCTCCTTCCTTCCCCCAGCCCCCATTCTTTAGATGAAATGAAAATGCATTTTTAATATTAAATGTTTTTTTTTTGATAAGTAAATTTTTAATTTTAAATGTGAGTTATTAAAATGACCTATGACTTGATTTTGCATTAGGATATGCCTAGTGAGCATTGACAGGGATTTGGGGCATACTATGAATTTTTTTTTTTGATATCTTGATGTGTCTGAAGTATTCGTTATAAGCGTACCACTGCTGTGAATTGACAGACTAACTATTGAAAGTATTGTGATTGGATCTGAGTTCTCTCTCTCCCCCCTCTTTTGTCTTACCTTCTGTATCTCTTTATGCACTTTCCTTCTGTCTTATGTAGACTTATTCATGTGCTTTAAATCTTACTCTAGTCAAAGACACAGATCTCCCATAACTGTTTTAGGAATTCCTAGTTCTTGATTTGTGTTTCTTCTAAACAGCACAAAGTTGTATCTGTAATGCTCTGGATTTTGAGACTGAAACCCAAGGTGTGATTAGAGGGATTTTAGAATTTGAGGAAACTAAAGTTATTTTACTTTCTAACAAAAAAAAAGAAGAAGCAGCATATAGCTTCAATGAGTTCGTATTTAAAATTCATGAAAAACTTTTCCATTAAAAAGATTCATTAGTTGCAACTTTTGACAATATGCCTACTAAACATTTGACCTTTTGGAGCAAATAGAAACCTTTATAAAATCCTGAAACTCCGAAATTAACATATCGAAAGACTATACTCAAAATCCCAGAATTTAAAAGATATTTCATTGATAAACCATAATCAAAGTTTTTTGAGTCAATAACATTTACATATTTAATTCTATTACATACCATTATACATTCAATACAAGTGATTCCAAAAAAACTCGTCACGTAGATTAGGCACCTAGAAAACACCAGGTATCAAGTACTGCTCATTCTTCTGGAACAAACCTGGGAAGTAAAATATTTAGGGGTGAGCTTATATAGCTCAGTAGAAATAATCTAGCATGAATGAGGTTTAAAATGCATATAGGGAATTTAGTTAAGCAAAATACGCCAAAATTAAGCTTTTGTCAAAGAAACATAAATTCACAAAATAGTTTCAAGGTTGTATACTGAAAGTACCAAAACCATTTCAAAAACAAAATAAGGAACAATCCAAAACCACAACTCCTTCCCATATGGACCTCCTTCCATTTTCACTAATAAATCATTTATACGAACAGCTTGTGTACATCCGAGAGTGTCCCACACGGTCACTTCCCCTTCAAACCAGTGTGGTCCAAACTCTCTCTACCCAAACAAGGGCTTTGCATGTGGGTTTTGGGACTTTCACCCTCAATTTCTGGAACATCCCCCTTTCTTGTTCCAACGTAACCACAAGCTGTGTCCATGACCAATTCATATTCTTCCACCCAAACCCAAGGTATGAACCATGAAGAAAACATTTCAGAATTTCTCAAAAGAACTTCAGTCATAAACAACAGCCTATAGTCTCAAATTTATTTAGTACTACTTCAACTCTGAAAACCAGTTATGCTTATCAAAGCAAATAAGGAAATTCCAATTCTCATCAAACCACCCAAACACCTTTTTGAAAACACAAGTATGATATTAAGAAGTTTAAAAGCATATAGTCCAGCAACCAAATGGAATCTTTAGAAGAAAATCACCCAAACATGGAAAAGCTAGAGAATCCCTACCAATTTAAAGATAACAAGTGAAGATGATGATGATGGAGAAATTTCCGGCCTGCCCCTTTTCTCCTCCTTTATTCTCTTCTTTTCCTGTCTTTCTCTTCTTCTCTCTATCTCTTTCCTCTCTAACTTTGTTTTCCTTTCTTTTCTTTTATCCCTTCCAGCACACATATGCTGGAGATGACTCACACAACTAGTTACAACTTTCACATAGTAATGACACATGCCCCCAAACTTGTAAAATTAACATATAGCCCTTCCAACTCTCTTTCATTCCACAACCCCCACCACTAAAGCATAATGAAGTAATCGCCCCAATAAAAGTGATTAACTCACTAAGCAAGATTACATTCACTAATCATGATTAAAAGTCACTAAGCAAGATTATAAATCACTAAGCGTGATTAATAGTCACTAATCACCATTAAAAGTCACTCAAGCCAGGGACGGAGCCAGTTTTTTTTTTTTTTTTTTTTTTCAGGGGGGGCACATTATACACTAAATACATATTTACATAATAATGTATATACATATAAATTAGTGTTGGTGGAGTATATATATAGCGAGAGACATAGGTGGATATTATATAATAATATAAAGAGATTGATATTTTTGGGATGAGGTAAATTAATAAATTACATATATAACCAACGGGTTAGTGGCCTAGAGGTATCAGCCTTTTACTTCCCAAAGGGAGGTCAGGGGTTCAAGTTTCAGAAGAGACAAGTGTGTGTGAGTACCAACTAGGAAAAAAAAAAAAAAATTACATATATAGAATATAATGAATTAATTTAAGAATTTTTTTTTTTAGGAAACATATATAGTATACAAGGGAAGGAGAAATTTCCCCCGCCGGGGGGGGGGGGGGGGGGGGTGGTTTGGCATTTTAAAAAAATTTAGACATATTATAAGAAAATATATATAGAATATATATATTTTTTGATATGTATAAATCAATTAATGCTACACCCATGACTTGAACCTGAAACCTTAAGCATGAATCCCAAGCACACTACCACCTTAGCTACTACACTCTTTATATATAGAATATAAGGTAAGTAAAAAATCCATGCTGCCTCAGTCCCTTACTTAAGCATGATTAAAAGACACTAAGCATGTTTAAGAGACACTAATAAAATCCTAGGATACCACAGTATCTTTGTTGCTTATGTTGAGGTGTGCTAGACAAAAATTGGAGGGACAGAAAGAGAGTTGGTAAAAGTTAATTTATGGGTTTGGACAGTAAAGGGAATGTGAAAGTTAAAAAGAATTGTGAAAATTCAACTCAATTTATTCATCCCCAATAGGGGTATTTATATGTGTTACAAAAAGGGCATGTACAAAGTCAAGCCTAAATCTAAGGCTGAATGCAAGCTAAGCCTATAATTAAGCCTAAACATATTTAACAGAAGATAATCAAATATAAAGCTAATATCAAGCCTAAATCTAAGGGGCTGTCTAACACTCCCCCACAAACTCTAAGGTCTAGGGTGGACGAGTTTGGAACGCAGAAGCTCAAAGTGATGCTTGGGAAACCCCTTAGTGAAAATATATATGCAATTTAGTCGGCGGAAGGAACGAATTGAACACGATGGCTACTAGAGAGAACAAGTTCCTGAATGAAGTGATAATCAAGCTCAATATGCTTGGAATGGGCATGGAAGACAGGATTGGATGCCATGTAAGTAGTGCTAAGGCTGTCACAGTAGCGTGACTGGTGTGGAAAGAGGCACATGAAGCTCATGTATCCAAACAGTCTTTGCACTAACTTGAGCAAGAGAGAGGTACATGACTAAGGACTTGAATGAGAAACTGTAGGCTCTTTCTTAGCACTCCAAGAAATTAGATTTGGGCCTAAGAAAACACAGTAGCCATAAGTCAAGGCTGAGTGGCAAGACAACCAGTCCAATTAGCATTGAGAAGGCATGTAGGACTAAAGCACCAGAGGAGGGGTGAAAGATCAATCCAAGATCCAAAGTGCCTTTACTTATCAAAAAAAAGAAAGATCCAAAGTGCATTTGAGATAGGGCAAAATGTGCTTAACAACAACGAGATGAGTGGTCCAGGGGGCACTCATGAACTGAGAAACATGATGAAAGTTGAAATTATATTGTAGGGTTTTGGGTGATTAGAGTTTGGAGAGAGAAGATAAAAGAAAGAGAGAGGAAGACACAGTAAAAAAGAGAATGTAAGTGTTGGAATAGCTGACTTGTTATTCTTTCTGTAAATAGGCTGTACGGATATGATTGTAATTTAGACCTTATTTTTAGCTCTTAATTTAGGAGAGTATATATCTGTGTAATTCTACTTATCAAAAAATATATATATCTGTGTAATTCTTCTATAATAAAAGAAATTTGGCTCATTCTTCACAAACTGACATGGTATCAGAGCCTATTTAGGTTCTTTGGGAGTTTTTTTTTCCGATGGCCTTCATTGCCGTCATTTTTTCAAGGCCTTCATTGCCGTCAGTTTTTCTACGGCCTTCATGGCCATTTTCATCTTCCTTCTTTGCGGTCTTTTTCGTGCCGTTTGTGACTGTTTAAATTTTTTTTTTTTTTTCTTTTTCCAGACAGTCCTTCATTGTCAATCTGTCCGATTATGTCTGAAACACCCAAACCGATCAGTTCAACCATCATGTCGTCCTCCAACAGCCAGGCTTTCATTCACACTGAAAACCCAACCATGCAGATCTCCACTTCCAAGTTGACTGGAAGAAACTTTATGGAGTGGTCTCAATCGGCCAAGATTTCCCTTAGAAGCAAAGGGAAAATTAAGTATGTAACCAGATCTGCAAAGCCTCCAGCAGAAGATGATCCAAAGTATGAAAACTGGGAGGCCGAGAATTCCATGGTGATGTCTTGGCTACTCCTTTCAATGCAACCGGAGATCAGCAAGACATATTTACTCCTGCCACTGCCAAGGATATTTGGGAAGCCGTCACAAGAACCTACTCCAAGGGAGGTTCTTCCTCTCAAATGTTTGAACTAAAGTGGCAGATTATCAGAACCCAGCAAGGTTCTTCAACTGTCACGGAGTATTATA